CACAGACAGTGACCACACAGACAGTGACCGCAGCACGGACAGTGACCAGTCAAACTGTGACCACAGCATGGACAGTGACCACACAGACAGTGACCGCAGCACGGACAGTGACCACAGCACGGACAGTGACCAGTCAGACTGTGACCACAGCACGGATAGTGACCACACGGTCAGTGACCGCAGCACGGACAGTGACCACACAGACAGTGGCCACAGCACAGACAGTGACCACACAGACAGTGACCGCAGCACAGACAGTGACCACAGTACGGACAGTGACCACAGCGAGTCCACAAAACACACGAACCCGTGCCTACTGCTTTTCTGGAAATGAACCGCGGCGCCACCAGCAGGGACTGTAAGTAAAGGAGTGACTCACGGTGAGGGGCAGCGAGCAGATGACGAATATCAGGGTCATGCAGGCCAGCAGCACCAGGTGCTCCACCTCCTCCTCCCCGTGGCCCAGCCAGCTCCTCCTCTTGCGGCCGGAGGAGACCACCGAGCCCCGGCGGAAGCGCTGGGCCCTGTACATCCGGCACAGGCTGACGATGACGGAGCCGTTGCACAGGAAGACGGCCAGCACGAGGAAGGCCATGAGCGCGGCGTAGGACAGGGAGAAGGCCAGCACCGCGCCGCCCTCCCCCTCCCTGGCTTCCATCTCGATGAAGCACCAGGTGCCGGGGCAGTACTGCTTGTGCTGGCCGTAGCCGAGGAAGGGCAGCGAGCAGAAGAGGCAGGCGAAGGCGTAGACGGCCGGCAGCAGCGCCTTGGCGAGCCCGCGGCCCACGTGCTTGGAGTAGAAGTAGGGGTGGCTGATGGCCAGGCAGCGCTCCACCGCCATGGCGAACAGGATGAGCATGGAGGCCAGGCCGAAGAAGGTCATGGCGAAGGCGAAGAGGTCGCACAGGCGGGGGCTGCCCACCAGCCCCAGGAGCGAGGCGTTGCGGGCGTACGAGACGAAGACCATGGGGCTGAGGACGCAGGTGCCCAGCAGGTCCGTGGCGGCCAGCCCGGTCACCAGGATGCAGAACACCGAGGACTTGCTCCGCTGCTCCTTCCTGTGGACGCCCAGGATGGCCAGAGCCATGACGTTGCCCCCCACGCCGGCGAGGAACATGATGGTGCTGACCGCCGGGTTCCCGTCCGCGTGGATCCTCGTGGTGTTCTCGCACGTCTCGTTCGGCAGCATGGCTCCCATCGGCTCAGGGGCCGCGAAGCGCCATCGGACCCGCCCGCACCACGGGCTGGACCTGCGCAGGGAAGCACCAGGAGATCAAGCAGGCGATCGGCGCCCCCGACCGCAGACAGAGCTGCCCGCTTCTTCCAGAGCACGGAGCTCCGCACAGCCCGACCCCGCTCACGAATCTACACTTCCTTACAGAAACCTGAATTGTCTCAAATCCTGAACTGAAAAGCCGCGCGGTGGCTGCCGGAGCTCTTACCTCGCTGACACAGAGCGGTACCGGCTCGGTTCCTCTTCCCCTCGTGTCGGGATCGTCGTGCTCTGAAGTCCCGCTCAGCCCGCTCGGGTCCGAGCTCGGGCGCGCTCCAGCGGCTCCTCAAGCGACTCCGCGCCCCGGGCGGTCCGCTTCGCTCTAAGGCAGGAGAAACTCTGTCACATTGAGCAAATAAAACAGAAGAACCGCCTGCGCAGCCCGGATGCTTCACCCCCAAAGGAAGACGCGCCGTGCGGGGACCTGGCAGGAGCAGGAGCCACCCGTGCTCGTGATCACGGCCGCCGGCGAGCTCTCCTCGGGAGCGGCCGGTCCTGCTCTGGAGCAGCTCGCGCAGGAGGGCGGTTCGCCTTTAGACATGCGCCAGGTGCTGCTCGGGATTACTCATCTTTGTGGATTCGCACACGAGGGCTGAACACTTGAAGGGAACTTTTGTCTCGATTCTGCCCCGAGCGTCTCTGAGCGCGCCGAGCGAGCGTGTTCTGCCTCGCGCCGCTGCGAAGCCGGACTGGCGCGCGGAGCGAGTCGGAAGGGACCGACGTGACCGGTGATGACAGCGCGCGCACCCCCCACTCGGAACATCCCCTCGCCCCCACGCGCGAGGAGCCCTTGCAGAGCGTGATGCCCCACGTCTTTCCAGGCGAACCCGGATCGCGATGTGCACCCGGAGCTCAGATGATGTGCAGAATTAATAGTCCCGCAGCGACTATTACAAACATTTTCCCCAGTTTTAACTATTATTTTCATGACATTTTGATTCAAACGGTAAATCTATTCTGAATCTGCTTCAATCTATTAAACTTGAAAGTTAAACCTATTCTTAATGCGCTTCTGTAATTCTCTTTTTATTATCAATAACATGAGATTCACTTGCATTACAATAAAATATTTTATTTAAAAACGGCTTATTTTACTAGTTACTGAGTGTTTAAAATAGAGACATACTGTACAGCCCAGTAACCCGTTGAAATGGCAGAATTTAAATTAAAACCTGCCACAGACTAGTGGGTTATTGTATCGTTTCTTCCTGGGGAGGATTTAGGCTAGACACCTGGTTGTACAGTATGTCAAACTTTATTGTTCGTTTTTGCGGGGGTTGTGCATGTAACGTTTTGACAGACGGTCACACCTGAGCTCGGGAAACTGGTTTCTGTGCGAGAGCCGCCGGGAGTCACGCTCACACGTGTCGTGTGCGCAGTGTATCCTCCGACCGAACAGGCTGTCGCTGCGTGCTGCTGCACGGCGGTGCTCTGTTGTCGACGGCGACAGTCCAGCAATGTTCTCGCGGACTGTGGTTCGAGTTTCAGGGCCCTGTGTCTGCGCGCCGCGGGCAGATCCGAGAAACCCGCCTTGTTAGCACGAACTCGTCATTACTGCTGTCTCCACAGCGACTGGTAACATCGTGAAGTCACGGCCCACCCTTTGTGTGCTACTGAAGTCCTTAATTTATGTATGTTTGTCGGAACATCTCACGCGAATGTTTCTAGCCTTCGGGGAAAGGGAGCGCAGGCACAGCGGCTCCGAGGCAGTGGGCAGGTCCAGTGTTCTCTGGCGGTATCGACGTCCCGGATTCCGCCGCCCGGTGAAACCGCAGATGCTCCGTGGAGCGCGCGCGGGGCTGCGGTTCGGCTGGGTTTCCGTCCGACCCGTCGCTCGAGCCGCCGCCCGCGTGGAGGGTCGATCAGCCGGGTACGGAAAGACCCTCGAGCTGTCTACCAGGAGCGTCCATCTCCACAAGATTTTGTTCACTTAAAAATATATTTTATATATATATATTTAATTTAATTATTGAAAACAACAAAGAATACAATACAACCATATAACATTTCAAGACAAAAGCATCGTCAGGGGTACATATTACAAAATAAATACAAATTATGAAAAAAAGTTTAAACAAATTCAAGATAAACTCCTCACTGCTTTCATATTTTTACAATTTGAAATATTCTGCAGATACTACTTTACATCCATTTTAAAATGTTCAAACATAGGATTCTTCCCAGACCATATCATTTTGTGTATATGATAACGTGCCATTTTAATAATTAAGTTAATTACAAACGATATTTTGGTATTGTTTTCGATGGGGCTGAAATTTAACATAACATTCATTTAAAAAGAAAATTACACTCCCCCGGTGTAATTGAGAAGTCGGAGGTACTGTAAATGTAGTGGACACAATCCCATAGCTAAACACCATAGGGCTGTTTTAATTGCGCTAATAACACCAACGATTACACTAATGGGACTAATGATATGCGGAAAATCCATGAACAGCCCGCAAAGCATTAGACTGCAATATGAACAATGTATCGTTGCTTGAAGGTAAACTTTTTAAAGCGGAAATATAACCAGTAAATACTATTTAAAAAACTAAGTGTTGAAAATACGTGGAAAATTCTCGTCAGTTCCGGTTTTTCCTCTGCGTGGGAAGCACTTTGTCGAGCCCGTTGGTTCACATTTTCAAAAACGTTAATGTGAAAACTAGATAATGTCTGTGCTGCACCTTCCCGCGGTGTTGTGGTCTTGGGGCGATAGCGCCGCTTCTCCGGTCCGGGGATTCAGAGCAGAGGGTCAGGGAGGCGGGGCGCTCTAGTCAGAGCTCAGCTCGATCTGGCCTCCAGGTTCAGTCACAACACACAAAACATACTACAGCCTCAGAAAGGATTCAAAGAAGAGGGTTCCTGATCTCAGCATTGTCGAGTCCTGAGGGGTAAAGGAACTGCATCTCCGCCACTCACAGCAAATGAGATTTGATTCAGGTGCAGCATATGGATCGCAGAGGTGCGAGCTGGACCACCTCAGTGCCTTGCTTGTGTCAGAGTGCGACCCAGATTCCTCTTCTTGAGGTCTTCTTGAGAATACAGCAGTTTTTAAACTTTTAAAACAGCTCTCAGCTCCCAGTGATCTGTATTCAATTTAGAAATAAATGTAGAAGATACATGTAAATATTGGTAAAAAAAGCCACTCTCTGGAATCACTCTCTGGTTGCCAGAAATCTACCCGTCAGACTGTGGCGTCTTGGCTGGGCTGGGATTCGGGGTGCCAGTCCTGCTCGCCCTGCTGAGCCAGCCCTCCAGGGCCATGGGGACAGTCCACTTCAGTCCAGCACTGTTCTCTGCTCCCAGTTCACAGCTTCATGATCTCAGCTCTTCCTTCATCACTACATGTATCTTTTCCAACCTAAATAATTCCTGATAAAAAAGGAAGCTGCTTCAGGATACTGAGTAGGGCAAGCCGGCCAGCGCTGCATTAATGTGTCTTTATTAGTAGAAAATGGTGATTTCCCTCAGCTCATACCAGTGTACCATTCCAATCAGGGTGGTTATTTTGGATCAGAGAGGCTGTTTTGAAGAGAGGAGCTCTTTGAATGTTCCTCCAGGTCTGTAGTGCGGGTGGAGTAGGTATCCTCTCTGCTGTCATTAATAAAGGCAGTTTCAGGGTCCCGTGCCCTCTGCTCTTAACAGCAATAAGCTGTGTATTAACTAAAAAGACACTTAGCATCTGTTTTGAGACACAGCAACATTGCTTAAAGACTTCAGTGGCTGTGGCCATATCTTTAATCAGTTAAATCAGAATTTTTGAATAAGATATGGTATGAAAATGAATGCAAAATACGTTCTAGGTTTTCCATTTTGTATCTGTTATTTTGCTAGAGTCACCATGGTGCCTGCTAAATCCTGGCTGAGAGTTATCTGTCTGCACAGGCCCTCAGGGTGAGACATCAGTGTGCTGAATGTTTGCTTGGACTTGAGTGTCACAGCTCTTCATGTAACACCCACTGGGTGTGGACTGTGTTCCAGTGATGTGCAGTGGTCAGTGAATTATCAGATCTGAACATGGCGCTAAAACCGCAAAACTTAACATCTCTGGGCCTGCGGTGTAAATACAGCACAGTATCTGCCATCTGCGTGAGCGTCTACGTCAGGCCATGCTTGTGTCTGCTCCAGCTGGTCTCTCGCTGTAGCCATGCTCTCTCTGTGGTATGGCCACCCATTGCACAGTAGTATAATGGAACAAGTAATAGGTTTATTCCATGCTGAAAAAAAGAAGAAAGAGAACACAACGTTTCGGCCGTGGAGCCTTCTTCAGGTGTCAACACCTGAAGAAGGCTCCACGGCCGAAACGTTGTGTTCTCTTTCTTCTTTTTTTCAGCATGGAATAAACCTATTACTTGTTCCTTTGCAGCCTACGCATGCTGACGCAGCTACCCACCTGAACTACAGTAGTATAATGCTGGCTGTGTGTACTCCAGAAACCTGTGAAACCCAAATAAATAGGAAAATGTACAGATATCCACAAGAAAGTGTCGACATTATATATAAAGCAGATTAAACACACAGTTCTGTATTTACTGAGACAGGAGTGCGTGCAGGGGTCTGTTAAACAGTGCATTTGAAAGTTGAGAAGGCAGATCACTTTTCTATAAATGTCCTGGGTTTGCAGTGCAAGAGGGCCCCGTGTCCAAAAGTGGAATTCAATGGTGACTGCGTGGCCCCCTGCCTCAGCTCTCGGTTCCTTGGGGTGCTGAAGCCTGAGGTCCTGATGCCCCAGCACGGGCCAGGAGCCTGCCATGGGCCTGAGCAGACAGGCTCTTTATAGTGAGCAGGTGGGAAGGCACCGCATCCTGGAGTCATACCCACGTCCAGAGACAAGGGCGGCTGAATGGGTTCGACTGAGTTGAGCCCAGTCCCAGTTATCGCCCCTCACTGAGAGCCCTCTGCTCACCAAACAGCCATCTTCATCTGCCAAAGCACGCAGAGTCACAGCCTGGGGCCGCAGCAGGAGCTCAGTGGAAAGGAGGAAAAGCATTATTTTTAAAAAAATGTGACACAAACAGGAGGAGAGTAATTGATGCTCCTGACAGATCTGTATAAGCAGAGACTGGAAAAGAAGGGCAATCAAAGCTTCATTATTTGTTAGAGGGGTTATTTTTGGAGCACCGTGCTGGTACAATTCATTTACTGGTGACAGAACAGCAGGGCAGAGCTTTAACTGTGCCAGAACACCCGGAGCGATTTTCAGCTCCTTTTCTTATGGCATTTAACCTCCTGGGAGAGAAGGGAAAAAGACTTCCCCCCAGTTCGCTCGCTGGTTTCTCTCCAGCGCTGGAGGTGGGCATCAGACTCTCGTCCTGGAGTCCCGGAGCTCTGGAGTCCTGCTGCACGGTTGGTCTTTGAAGCACTTTCCTAGTTCGGCAGCCTTGAGCTGGGGCTTCTTCCAGCTCTCAAGACGAGTCTCACTGCGTCAGGACAGGACTTCAGCCTGGTCAACTGAGTCGTCGTAGACAAGAGAAAGCACAGTCATGGGCTAGTGTGGCATGCGCTGGTAAAAGCACAGTGAAGCACAGTGAAGCATGGTAAAAACTGTGTTTATCTGCTGTGGCAGAGGGGAAGATGACAGGATTATTTACTGAATTGTTCAGCAGTGACAGCTCTGAAAGGGCAGGCCGAGATCACTGAGCTCTCACTTTGCCTCACTGCTTGTCTTGAGGAGGTGTACATTTAAAAATAACAACCCTGTGCATTTTACAGGGATTACTTCACTTTTTACCCAGATTTCTTGAAACCTGCTGCACCGGGCTGTCACAGCTCTGTGATTTCCCAAGTAAATGAATGGCTGTAGCCCTTTTACATTTTAACAATATTGAGTGTGTACTGAGGATTGTTGATGCTGCAGTTCCTTCACACTGCTGGTTCTACAGGAAAGAAAGTAGATGAGCAGTGCAAATCGTGCAGCAGGACTGAAGACCCTGTTCATGCCTGCATGATGGCATCTAGACCCTCTGTGAGGCGGAGCTAAAGCTCGATGTGCAGATCTGGCTGCTTTAAATTACACATCA